ATACAGGTAAGTCGCGCGGGTGCAGCAACGCAGTAGGTTAGAGCACGTCGTGGTAGGTCACTGTACGCGGGCTTGGCACGATGCGCGGGCGCGGGGAGTAGCGTATTATTATGTAATGCGAAATTTGTATTGTAGAGTAACCACCCATAAATACATATATCCGTTCATGCTCGATCTGGTGCCCAAGCGCAACGAGCCCCAACTGTATAGGACTGTTGCACTCTGTTCCTATATTTTTGCCAGGCGTTCAATAGAGTGGAACATACAGATATCGGGCGAAAAAGATGCAAATAGACGGAGACAGACGGGAAAAGACGACGAACGGCAAATAGCTTTTTGTGTGCATATGGACGGATATCTATGCATTCACCTACATACATGTGGATATCTGACTACTTCTGCCTTTTGGGCGGACTGAAACGGGCCAAAAAAGATGAGAATCGTGAGCAACAGGGAAGGTTCTCACTGGGGTCAAGTCTCGAAGCCGCTGACTGCGTATAACATAGCAATAAGCGATGATGGATGTAGATTAGACGCAGAGGGCGCAATTGAAATTGGAGCAGGCTGCGATGACGCCGTGACGAAAGCGAGCGCATCTGCTTGGTGCGCCGTAGTTACATCATAACCGAATATTTGTACACCAATAGCCCTCTTAAGAGGCGTCATGCGAGCCGTTCTCCGAAGGCGAGTTCGACGAACTCCTTGGCTGGTCGACCTGCTCTCTGCCTATCGGTTTATCTAGAGCTGTCGATTGTCCTACTTAATATGAGGCCTTGACACGCTACTCCCCCCTCTATCACATTGTATCAATTCACTCGTCAAATGACGTTTCAGGTGAGGTTGTTAGATCTCCAGCCATTCATTGTGATCCATCTTGTGCCAGCGAACCGCGCTCGGCGGTCAACCCATAATGACGGTCTCAATACTCATACTATCCCATGTTTGACTGCATAGTCGCAAGATCCGGACGTTGATGTGTTAGGAGTTTGTCCCGACCTATCGGAGAAGGATCAGCCGTGGTACCGAACCGAGACTGAAGAAGGGCCTGACCAACGTGGCCGACCCCCAGGTCTGCGGCGAGCTGCTCATCTCGAACACTATCTCCCCTCCAAACGCAATATCCTCGTGTGTGAGAAAGGGAGTCTCAAGCGGCTTGCCGTTCACGGTCAAGCCCTTGATGTACGGCTTGCTGGGCGCTCCACTGGAGGTGATGACGAGAGGCCGGGACGCGTTGGGAAGGTCGATGGCGACTCTGTCAAAGAAGGGCCTACCGGTGTACTCAGCGCGTTGCGGGCGACAGAGAACAAACCGGACGGGCTTACGTTCCAATAACGTATGTCGCATCGACTGGGGTGACGGGGTAGAATCCAAGCGCACTGAAGATGTACCACGCGCTCATCTGTCCGCAGTCTTCGTTCTGCGAAGAGCCTGTAAGAGGATGCCCGAATGAGTGTCGGATTCAAGGAACGTACCCCAGACAGTCCGTCGACGGTGTTGTTGTAATTCGCCTGCGCGACCTGCCGGATGCGCGCTTGAGACTTCGACGCTGCCCCAGCAAGCGAATACAGGTACGGAATGTGGTGCGAAGGCTGTTTGAAGAATGTCGATAATAAGGGATCTGGAGGATAGCAACGCACGAGCACCACGTACCTCATTAGTATGATCATTATGCCCGCCATCGAAATGCTCATCCAGGAATTGCACAAAGGACACATTCCCGCCCTTGCTCTCAATCAAGCCAGGGAAGTCGTGTAGGACGTCGAACGTGTAAGCCCACTCGTCACCCTCGGTCCAGCCAGCAGTCGGCCCTGCCCACGAGCTGTTGGCAAAGCGCGCTTCCATGAAGCCGGTCTCGTTGTTGAAGATGGTGAACGGGGCGGAGAGGGCCCGAGAGCGGAAGAAGGCAGCGTCGGTTGAGTTGTTTGCTGCGGCAGCGACAAGAGAAACTGCATAGTCATCATCTATACACGAAATGTTTTTGAGCCCAGTCGCCTGATTGGAGATGCTAGAGCGGGGTTCTTACAGGCGTAGTCGAGGGTGCGAGATGCAGCCTCGGAATGTATATCATCTGCGATCCATCCCTGCTCTTCATAGACAGAAGAGAGGCCTGCGCGCACTTCATAACCGACACCCTAATAAGACAAATCGTGAGGGATATAACACGGACAAGGTGGGACTATCCTTGCCTCTTGTCTATCAGAATACCTAGAAAAGTACATTCATCAAGGAGTAGAATTTGAGTGACTGCAAGGACGCTTACGAAATGTTCCAGTCATCTACAGGCGGGACAGTTGCATCTTTTCGGACTGCTTCATATGCCGTCGCAAGGTCGAATCCAGTGAAGCCCTTCACAACAGCCTCCGATACCAGAGAGTCTGCATGTGTACCAACCTATGCGAAGGGGAACACATCATCAACAGGATCGACAGTGAGAGACAGGCGTGTTACCATGATATTGGTCTCTGTATCGCCACAGAGCAATTAGCGATCGCTCTTCGTCATCGTAGAGCACAATCGCAGACACTCGCCGACGATGTTCTTCCACATTGGCAGCCAGCCTCCTTCAAGATAGTCCTGTAGCATACTCCGAACCATCCCCGGGATACGCTCAGGGGCGAGTAGAATGAGCCAAGCCCATTCAGCGCGGTAGGTGTCCTAGAGCACTGTGAATTAGCGAGACAAACTGTCATTCTGTGGAATACACACCCAAATGGAGTATCCAGTGTAAGAGTCGCCCTCGTGCACGGCATCATCATAACCGGAATAGTACTTGCCATCCTCATCCTGTTCATACGGGTACTATAGAGGACGTTCGGTCTATACTCGACCAGTTCACGAGATAGCAATACGCCGTACCTGGAGTGCATGAAAGACAGCGGTGTAAAATACCTCCCTGTCGTCGTCGCTCGCACCCTCAATCTGGATGCGATCCAACTTCTCGGCCCACGCAGCACGCGTCTTCTCCGCCGTGCTCTCCAATGTCGTCCCGTCCGGTATCTCCGCATCCAGATTCTTCCTCGCCTGTCCAACAGAGATGAACGACACCCCGACGCGCACGTTCACCTGCCTCGTGCCCTGCGCAAACCTTGCGAAGCCAGATAGCATCGCGCCGTCGCCCTGAGTCACGTTCTCCTCCGTGCTACCGTTTTGCACGACACCGAAGCTCTCGAACGGCACGTCAAAGCGGGCGCAGAAATATCCGGAGAAGTTCGGCGCGGCGTTCGGGCCGATGATGAAATCCTGTCGCTCGGGATTGCTACCTGTGATCTCGCGACTCACGGGGTCAATGGCAATGGACCCGAGTGGGTAGGTGACGTTCGTTGGGTCGGCGGAGCCCATGACGGAAGCGCGGGTCGCTTCGACGAGAACGTACGGTACCGCGGTGTTGGTGAACGTGAAGCGCAGGTGTCCGACCCGCGAAGCTGAGAAGCATGCCGTATGTGATGTTAGCTCATGTCTAACCTTGAACACTGAGAAGCCCAATTGAATTGGAACGTGCGTTCAGGCTGTACTTACTTGCTGACTGCTCCGCATGGATCTGGCCTCCCTCGATAGCGTTCATGACGGCCGAGTAATAACTGGGGGTCACGACTTCGTCCTCGTGGCTGAAGCTCATCCCGCGCTGCTCGAATACGCTCTGTATTTCGCCGGCCCCGGGCACAACCACGAACTGGCCGCTGTTGCCCATCCATATCGCAGGCTTGTGCGTGCCCTGGAAGCCATAGATGGAAGGATCGCTGTAGTTGTAGGGGTTCACAGAGACCCAATCCTTGCGCGTCTGGGCTACCCAGCGGGTCATCCCGAACGGAGGTGCGGTTGTGGGGATCATACCCCCAGTACTGTGAGGGGCGATTCCACCATTTCCGATCAGCCTGGTCGAGATTGGTCAGTAATATAGAGCGTGATGATAATGGTATAGACTCACGGATCGACCGAGTCCACAGCGCTGCTCGCAGGGACGGCGAACTCAGGAGGTGCCTTGAGACGGTCAGTACGAGCGTCGCCGAATGCTAGAATCGCGAGCAGCGTCAATAGGACCGTTGCACCTATCATTGACGTATTCTTTATGCGAATTAACGGTCAGAAAGTGGGGGAAGACAAAGGACGACAGCCCGCTTCAGCTGTCAGCCACCTGACTATATGTCCCCACTGGTCATCGGTATCGCCTCCACTGCAGGGAGGGCCTTCAGGGCTTTCATCAAGAAGCCGCATCACGGGTTACAGGCTTCTGCATCTCGACGGAACTGTGTATGTCAGAGAGATGTTCTTGCTATCGGCCGTTGACGGTCAAGACAGAGAAGCTGCTGGCATCGTCCCGCCGTTCCGCCTGTGCCCAAACTATAATGCGCTCGAGCTGCATAGTCATAAGGTCCTCCGGGCGATCCTGGCTAGGGTGCTCTCTGTTTCATTTCTGCTCTAGCCTTTAGCGAGGAGTAAAGTGTCTCCGTGCATAGTATGATTGAACCAGGTGGCATAGACCACCCCTAACACAGCCTGCCTCAATAATCATGTTCATTGAACTTCTGCGGGCTGGAGCCGTAGCCCTCAAGCAGCAATGCAGCCGTCACATTGCCAGTACATTCTTTCCCAAAGGGGTTTGTCGCGGGCGAAGCCCTCCCTTTGGCCCGGTCAACACCGCTAGCATAAGCAAAAAGGGCACGAGCGGTCCACTGAGACTCACCTTCTACACTTGTAGAACCGAAACGAGAAACCACGCGAGCTGGCACCCCCCATACGGATTTGCATGTACTGCAGAGGAGTCCTGGACCACTAGTGGCCAGGAATCGTCTAGCACATCTTGGAGTTAGCAGGTATGCGTTGATTCACTTTATCAGATACGCAGGTGTAAAGTCGAATGACGAAAACACATACCTAACTTGAACTTGGATGGTGGTGGCCACAACAACGCCGACCTTCCAAAACGGGCACGACAATCGCGGGCGTCGAGCGAGCGCCGCCAACCGCCATCTCGGACTGAAATGTACCGTTCCATGGATTCCCAATCTTCTCTTCTTCCCACACGATATCCCAAGCACTATGGAGGTGGATGAGTCCAACATCACCTTTCTTCCCATACAACCTCTGCCGACTGTCCAAGTACCTGCAACGGACTATGATGACCACCGGGATGCACACACACCACTCTGCATCGACAATGGCTCGACACACTTGCGGTTCGGATTCTGCACGTCGGATACGCCACGGACAGGCATTAACATGGTAGCGAAATACAAGGAGCGCAAGACGAACAAGCCACTGCTACTGTTTGGTGAAGGGATAGACGTGGAGGGAGGTGCGAGGTCGCAGGCGAAGACACCTTGGGAGGGAGACGTGTTGCTCAACTTCGACGCGTTGGTATGTCCGCGAAATGATTCGGCATGAAGCTGGAACTAAACTCCTCGATTATTGCAGGAGAATGCCTTGGATTACGCGTTCATACACCTAGGGATCGACACCCCTGCGGTCGACCATCCGATACTGATGACCGAACGGTTAGCGTCCCCGTTGCACTCAAGAGCCTGTGAGTTCCATATCCCTGCTGCAAACGCTTCCCATAGGGAAATGAAGGTCGCTGATCACAAGCGTAGTGACTTCTGAACTCATGTTCGAGCAATACTCGGTCCCCTCCCTCGCGTTCTGCGTCGACTCCGTAATGTCATTCTATCACAACAACCTCCCTTCACCACCGGTTCCCTTCCGTGACGACGGTCTTGTTGTATCCTTCAACACTGCTTCTACATCCGTCATCCCAATACTCGACGGCAAGGGCATAATGAGCCACGCCAAACGGCAAGTCCCTCATGTTCTGCTCCACACTCTCCCGCCTGCTCAAGGCCTGATGCTATCTTGCCCATCCGCAGAATCAATTGGGGTGCGTCCCAAGCGACCGACTACCTCCTCAAGCTCATCCAGCTCAAATATCCCACCTTCCCGAGCCGCGTCACTCCCACTCAATGCAACTGGATGCTGCAGAACTTCTGCGAGTTTTCTCCCGACTACCCCGCGCTCCTCCGCAAGCTCAAGGACCCTCTGAACCTCCGCGCCTCGGAGCGCATCATCCAGTTTCCGTACCAAGTGCCCGTGACCGAAGAGAAAACGGAGGAAGAATTGGCGAGGATCGCGGAGAGGAAGAAGGAGCAGGGGCGGAAGCTGCAGGAGCTCGCGGCGAAGTCGAGGATGGAGAAGCTGGTGCAGAAGGAGACCGACCTGGCGCACTTGTTGAGCGTGAGGGAAAGGAAGGAGGAGGAGAGCAAGCGGGAGTGGGCGGACACGTTGAGGGAAGAGGGCTTTGCGAACGACGCGGCGTTGGAGGCGGCGATCAAGAAGCTGGAGGCGGACTTGAAGAAGGCGAGGAAGAAGGAGGCGGATGGGGAGGACGCAGAGAACGTCAGTGGTCGTGGTGACTTATGAGCGCGATGAGCTGACGTGATGTGCAGGAAGAGCCTCCGTCATTTCCCTTGGTGGATGTTCCTGACGAAGACGTATGTTCCAGCTTTCATTCCGGCGTAATCCTAAGCTAACGCGCCTCCAGCTTGACGAAGAAGGCCTGAAAGAGAAGAAGAAACAAAAGCTCATGAAAGCCGGGTATGAAGCCCGCGAGCGCGCCAAGCGCGAAAAGGAGCGGGAGCGCGAAGAGCGCGCGGCAGAAGAGAAACGAGAGGAGGAGGAGCGCGACCGCGACCTGTCCGGGTGGGCTACGAAGATGCGTCGGGAGCAGGAGACGCTCATGAACCGGATAAAGGAGCGCAACCGGCGTAGAGCGGCGCTGACGGACAGAAAGAGCGCGGCGAGCCAGGCGAGGATGAAGAGCATTGCGAATCTGGCGGCGGATGATCGGGTGCCGAAGAAGAGGCGCAAGGCGGGTGGGGGTGAGTGGCTTGCGAGCTGTGTTATTTTGGGGTGCTGAGACGTGCGGTGGTACAGAGGACATGTTCGGCGCGGACGACGCGGACTGGGCGATCTACCGCAAGATAGTACGTGCGCATCTTCACCTGACCATAATTCCGCTCACGGTCGACTTGTGTAGAACACAGCAGCCGCTTCCTCGGACGAAGAAGAGGACTTCGCCGCTCTGGCGGCGGTCGAGCAGAAGCTCCTCGCGCACGACCCGACGTTCACCGAAGAGCACACGCACGCAGCGCTGTCCTCGCAGCGCTCCGCACTAATGTCCGCCTTCCGTCCCGCGTACGACGAAGGTGACGCGCAAGGAAAGGCGCGGATCCACCTGAACATCGAACGCTGGCGTGCCTGCGAGGCGTGGTTCTCGCCCTCGATGGCCGGGATTGACTCGGCGGGGCTGGGTGAGGTCCTGCAGAACGTACTCGCTAGGTTCTCAGACGCGGACAAGGGCCGGCTCGTCAATGTGCGTCCCCTGCTCTCGCCTGTATTCTAGACGGATACTGATGGAATTTGAACGGAAACGTAGAACGTCTTTCTCACAGGCGCACCCTCGCAGCTCCCCGGCCTGCGTGACCGCCTGCACGCCACGCTACGTCCGATTCTGCCCCCGGAGATGCCGCTGGAGATTGTGCGCGCCGCGGACCCTGTGCTAGACGCGTGGCGAGGCATGGCCGACTTCGCGAAGACGGACGAATTCAAGAAGGTGGGTGTGACCAGGGCCGAGTACGAGGAATGGGGTGGCGAGCGCGTAAAGAGATGGTGGGGTGGGAACTGGAATGCTTCCGTCCCACTCAAGGAGGATTGGGGACCGAGGGATGGGACTCATTGTTGAGACGTCTCGTGCGCGACGTTCTTGGGTTTCTGCTTGTGAGGTGCTTGTGTGAGGATCTCTCGGTGTAAGACAATTATGTATAAATAAGTAGATTGCTGAAAACACCGCCTGCCCGTGTCGCGACCGAGGAGCGAGAGCGAGAGGGGCATGCGTATATGGGATGTATGGGGTGTATGGGATCCGGGGGGCAGCATTGGCGACAACAGCAAGAGAGAAAATACGGGGAACACTACTACTCTTGCACAGCGGACCGTATGTACACTACTAGGACACATCGACATCCCCAGCCCCAGCCCTAATCAGCACGTCAAAACAAGACGTAGGAGTTGGGGGAGCGGGGAGTGGGAAATGAGGGTGGACCATTCTATCAAGTACAGCAGCCGCCCTGCACCTGGCTTGCGGGCTGGTTGACCTTGACGGCGCCCTCCGTGCCCTGCGGACCACCCGCTGCGCCCGATGACTCTGCTTGCGAGTCGATGAGGCGCGTCTTGATATCTCTGCAGTGAGAGGAGGGGTCAGTAGAAGCACATAGAGCTGCAAATGGGGATTGGAAGGGAATACGTAGAAAGTGGGTACGCGAAGCGCTGCGGCCCGGCGCGGTGCTGACCGCGCCCACAAGGTGGACCCTGCGTATACGTATGGCTTGACGTGGGGAATGCTGTGTCGCCTATGCGACGAAGCCCGCTCCAGGACTACCCAGACGTCATATCCTTCACACGCAGTACCCGAAGAGGAGCGGAAGCGGGGGCGGGAGCAAGGCGACAGCGCGGAGATGGGAGGTGGGGGACGTGGAACATGAAAAAGTTGCAGGCAAGGGGACGAGAACTGACCTTGCGAGGGTGAAGAAGGCCTCCTCGACGCCCTCGTTGACCTTGGCGGAGGTCTCCATGAACTTGATGCCGAGCTCGTTGGCGAGCTCCCGGCCCTGCTCCTCGGTGACGGCGCGCTTCTCGGTCCAGTCAGACTTGTTGCCAATGAGAATCTTGTTTACACCCTCTGAGGCGTGCTGCTCAATGTTCGCGTGCCATGTGCGGATGTCTGGAACCCATTGAAACAGACGGGGAGCAGGGTTCCGGTATATGGGAGATGCGCGTTGGAGGACAAGTTGCAATCGCAGCAAGGAGGGAGGTAAGAAGGGGGTGAGGGAAATAAGGGGAGCAGAGTACGCACTGTTGAACGACCGTTCGTCCGTTACGTCGTATACGAGGAGGATACCCATCGCTCCACGGTAGTATGCCGTCGTGATAGTCCTGAATCGCTCCTGTCCAGCAGTGTCCCACTGTCGACCACGATCATAGCGAGCGATGAGTGGAGCACCCAAGAAGGTTTTAAAAATATGAAACGCACAATCTGGAGCTTAATGCGCTTGCCATCGAGCTCGATTGTCCGAATCTTGAAGTCTATGCCGATAGTCGTGATGAAGGAGGGCGTCCAGGCGTCGTCGCAGAACCGCAGCAATAGACAAGACTTCCCGACACCTAGAGTGCGATGTAACGATGAACATCCTCAAGACTTTCAGGCCAATACTGTAGCAAGGCTCAAGTACCTGAGTCACCGATGAGTAGAAGCTGGGAAGGTCATCAGAATCCCATCGACCCGAGTATGTGGAACCCTGCTGCATAGCTGTACAGACCTTGATCAAGAAGTCATAGTGGGGAGGCGGCATGATCTACGAGTCAGGTGTGGTGAGATCCTCGAGACCTCGCAATTGTTGGGGGACTTAGGGACGTACAGCTGGACGACGAGCGGGACGAGGTGGCGGTAGGAAGAGCAGCGGACTCCGCGGCAACCGTCGAGTCTCTCCATCACAGACAGCATTAGCGCCACGTGGATTTGCCATTTATAGTAGGTACAACATTGCACAAGATCCCCCCCTCTCACTTGGCCAATGTGAATCTCATGGCCAGGCAGAACAAATTCCTGGAGCTCGGAAATATAAAGTAGAAGAGGCCAGGACCTAGTGGTCTTGCAGAGTCCTGGAAGACGTGCGCATGCGGCAGTAACGGAGCATTCGACCGAGGACTACAGCTGATGTAAAAACCAGCGTCGCAGTCCCCGCGCCCGGGGATGTGCTCGGACCACCGGAAAACCCCGGCCGAGCCCCAGCTATACCACACCGAGGACATTGCCCGACTCTGGTCCACTGCTGGAAGCACCCGCACACAGCGGGAATCTGCATGGGAAGCATTCCATGCAGAATATTGTGTGTCCTGTAGCTCTGAAACCACATAGAATGAGGCGGGGCACACTTCGCGCAGTCACGGCGAGCTTGTCCCCTGACTGGGAGGTGGCCGGAGCGCTGGCTTGAGGGGCTCGGCAGGGGGCTGCCGCTGATCCGAGCACAGGGAGGCCTGGGGGAAACGCGACGCTGGTTATTACATCAGCTGTAACCAATCCGGAACAACTCCACGTGGGCAATATGACCGGAGCCGGCGACTGCACAGTCTGCAGCAAATGAGCTCATCGCCACCGACCACGCCCTTGACACCGACCACGACGATGAGCTCGTCCTTCGCCCCCTCTGGCGACCACAGCTTCTTCTCGACTCTCAAATTCTCCTCTGGCTCCTCGACGCTCGTCACGACGCGCCTCGTCGCCGTCCCTGCGTCCCAAGAACACCATGCAAGCGCTCCGACGATCAAGGTAACTGCACAAGAGGCCCACTCGTCGACCTCACGCGAACATCTCGCGTTGCCGAAGCGGAAAAGCCCTGACAACCTCGCGCGCAAGGTTGTCAAGAGGCGACGCGTCTCGCCACCCAGCAATGATCCTACCGAACCGGCCTCGCGAGCTTCCTCTCTAACCTCTGTGTCGAGCCGTCAAACTTCACGAGCATCGTCGCTGCTCTCTGCGGACTACGCGTCTTCGCCCAGTACGCGGGCGACGTCGGTGGCGAGCGTTGCGTCTCCGGTGACGCCACCGCGGGAATGCTGGATAGACGAGAACGGAAAACCGGGTCCTGGCTTTCTCAGCTCGGAGGTTGTCGTGCGGAACCTGATGAAGGGCTATGTATCATGTGAGTACTGACTTCTCTACCACTTTAGGTTTTTCTGTTGCGTTGCGCGATGTGGTTGTGTATCACTACGACATGACGCGGCGGGGATGAGAGTGTGTAGTGCACCGCCTTGTCTGGAGATAGTGTTGCGGAGACACGCTTCC